TGCGAGTAGAACTGCCCAAGCATGTAATCAGGTCACTAGGAAGCCCCAGCACCCTTGTACACAGCAACGGGGCCGTGTGAGGTGCCAGCTCTGCAGCAAGAGGAGTGCAGAAGGACCCTTTTCTCTGCAAGGAACCCCTCTGGGCTTGCTGTGATCTGCTGTTTATTGTGACACAACACTGGCCCAGTGACATAGGCCACATCTGGCTGAGATGACCAGGAAAGGGTGTTTGGAGGAGATTAAAATCTCCAGTAACTCTTTTTAAGATTACTAGTAACGCTGCAATCACATATGGATCCACAGTGCTCACTCCTTGCATAAGAACCTCTCTGGAGCCAGGCACAACAGGTCTGACAGTGGATGTGCTGGACATAAGTGTATTAATATTTTGCCCACAGTCTCCAGAATCCTTATAGATATTCGCAATAATCTCACAGGAAGAAAGGTGTTACAACCACACCTAGACATAGTCTGACTTGAGCATTGTGTTCTCTTGAAAGGTAGCTTGACAAGTTAGTTGCCAAAACTTAGCTCAGGTTTCTGAACTGAGAGGTGCCATGTCCTGGCAGGCTTAAGGCAGGTGATGTTTTGCTAACGACAAGAATTTAGGGCTCAAACATGCTCTATAGCAGGAGGCAGCTGAAACCTGCAGATTCCTGAGGACTTGTTTCCTCTCTTAAGATGCAGAAGGTAGATCTACGCTTCAAACAGGAACTCTATGTAGCCTATTTACAATTGGATAATCAAAATTTGAGGTCAGAACACCCAGAAACTGCGATGTTTGATCTAGGAATGCCAATTTGGCACGTTAAACCTCCCTTTTGAGTCATAATCCTTCACAAACAGTCATTCTAACTTTTAACCTCACCTAATTGCCAGAGTAATACCACCATGACAGAGACAGAAGTGGGAGAGGTCACGTACAATCCACGCTGTACTGCTTCCTTCCTGCCCACAGCGCGCAGCAGTACGGGCTGCTGGGCAGGGCACTGACCTCGCACTTGAGAAACCAGGTTTCCTTTTCCTGCTCCACCACAGATCTCCCGTTCAGAGGCCTGCAGCAAACAAGTTGCTTAGTGTCTCTGTGTCTGAGTTTCTCACCTGTGAAACGAGAATAGCACTTCTCCTTCCAGGAGGAGTACCTTAAGGATAAATACAGTAAATTCTGAGCTGCTCAGGTTAGAAGGGGGTTTAGATAAGTACCATAATGGACCAAAATAAACTTAACCCAGTGGGAGAAAGGGGAACAGTCATGCTGAACATAACTTCTAAAAAAAAAAAAATTCCATTGCTGTTTACTGATTTTAATACATCAGATTTGCCTTTTCTTCTGATGGTTTTCTTTGTGTCTCAACAAGGACCAGTGCGTCGTGACCAATTGTACAAAGTACAGCTAAGAAAGAAATACAACATGGTCTCACTTTCAAGATTTTCTTTTTGTAAGATTGAAAAGAGCAATTTCAGTTTGAGAACTCGTGGTTCACTGTTAGGCACAGATAAGACCTGGGAAGCCTTTGTGTACAACTTGGACGGCCTGGCAATGGAGCGTGAAAGGCACCAGGACACTAGTGTTCAATCTCACAATATATAGATAAAAATGGAACAAATGAGCTACACAAGTTTAAAGCTCTCTTAACATTATTTTTTCAAATTCAGATGGGAAAATGATGAATTTCAGTATTATTTAAATTTATAAAGCAATTGCAAAAATACAATTATTAGAGGACATGCAACGAGAGTCAGCACTGCCATCTGGTTTTGGAAGCTAAAGGGAAAGATGACACTGGTCTAGTGATTTTCCAGTGCTTTTTCTTCAACTTTCTATGAAGGGCACAAGTTTGTCTGACCACTGGTTCTGCCTCTCTCACCTTTTACAGCTGGGTTTTACACCTGCATTTTAAGGCAGCAATTTACAGCAGCATAACTTTACTCACAGCAGGAGTTACAACCAACGTACACAGCCAAGGAAATAATCGAGACTCTGAATAGACCGATCCTGTACGTATCAATAATCACTGCAGGACCTGTGTCACTCTGGGTTATTTCCAAGCATTTGGCGAGACAGAAGCAGAGTCAGGACGCCTGTGGAACACTGGCTGTGCGTATTTTCTGAGCAAGTTCTGACGAAGTTTTAACTTTCTAAAATGTGCACTTTCATTTCTCTTTAGCAATAAGCAACAAACTGTTATTTCTCTGAGCACCCTTTGAAGGAAAGTCTCATTAGAGAGAGCTTATTTACCAGCTTCTACTACACAGTAGTATCCAGGAAATATTTTCTAAGAGTAAGGACTTGCATGGTATCTTAGATATTCCTGCACTGCAGCTTCATATCAGATAGTTTGATGAAAACACTATTTGGCATCTGTGGTCTCATTTCTTTCACGTTAAATCAATTGAGATAAATTATCTCCTCTTCCATTCTTTGGAGAGGTCTGAAACTGTGTCCTTCAAGGTCATAGGCTTGGGGGAATTTTTGTAGAGGGAAGAGTGAGATTTATTAGAACCAGCTTGCATATATCACCTATCATACCTATGACAAGGATTACGTGTTATTCCCATATCAGTATTTGCATACAGACATCCCAGCATGCACATACCACTTCTGAGTCACACCAATCTTTTCAGCTCCTTGTACAAAGTGATGCAAAATTAACTACTGGCTTTTTTTTTGGGGGGGGGGAAGAATGTAACTGCCTGTTCTGGTGCGTCCTTCCTTAGATATTCCTCAAAATACAGCAAAACTCCTTGCATACTAACAGAAAATTTCCATTCTTTCACTCCTTTGTAGCTATGAAAGCTGTTCTTCATGACTGGAGTTTTTAACTTTATCTTCTCTGCCCTTTGTTTGTCTTTGATACTTAAGAGGGAAAGTTCAGCCTTTCCTCACTGTGCAAACAGTTTCCATGCTACACTAACCACACGCTGCTATCTGGGCTTCTGCAAGTAGCTTAAGAGATTTCATTACCACCCATCAATCATGATCTTTACACCTCAGGTTTGAACTCAGAGGTTAGATACAAAAGCCAACTAAACCCGGACAGCTTTTTAATTCACACCATGTGTGGGATTCATACTCTGTAGGTTTAGATGGGCAAAAAGTTAAGATCTTTCCCCCATTACCCCAGTTGGCTGTGGAGACTGCAGCTGTGGCACAAACAGTCTGTGGTGTGCTGTGCACATCCAGGTTGCAGAGTGAAGGAGAAACCACACCAAAGATCAGCGCCCATTCGCACTGTTGCTGTAGCCCACCTTACTCTTCTCCTCACTAATATTCATGCTGTGTCACACAGCAAACCACTGTACAAAACTAGCACCAATGTAACTGTGCCTTCGCAAGAAGTCGTAGCTTTCACTTTGTATGTCTAACATCAGGTCAAAGTTGCAAAGTAGTTTTTTGATACTTTCCAAAGACAGAATTAATAACCAGACTACTGCCATAAATATATTAAGTAACTTTAATGCTGCTTAGCATAAGTCTTTGTCATAGACTTTCATCCATATACGCCAGTGTAAATGTATTTTATACAATATGAAGTATTTTTTAAAGTATCTGGCTCTAGATAAAATGTTCACAAAAAAAGTTTCAATGCAAGTAGAGAATTAGGGGGAAAAAAAACCAAACCAACAACAGCCAGAGTACAAAATCTTTGGAAGATAAGAATTTCAGAAAACAAGACATACAAAAACATCCCTCTGCAACTGAGGATGACCAAGTGGTTCCCCTAGTCCGCAGGGCTGCCACTCACTGCTGTGTCATCCATAAGAACCTGTCCTGGGTCAGCAGAGCCTGCAGGGCACTACTGAGGGGGGGCTGGCTCACAGAGATCCTTGTACCTGACAAGTTTGATAAAGTAACCTTCATAGCAGACACCCTTGTGAGCTCAAGGAGAATGAGTAGGCCTGGGAACAAAGAAAGTTCTGTCTTCCCTTACTCAACCACTGCTGGTCTCTGCAGAACAGTCAGGTGCACTGGTAAGATGTGGAGAGCAACTTGTTTTACAAATGACAGGGAGCCTTTCTTCTCCCAGGTTATCAATTTGGCACTGTTCACAAGAGCAAAAATTATTTACTACTATCATAAAAAAAAAGTTTCACCATCTGCAAAACAGCATGAGTGTCAGGGAGCAGAGCAAAGTGTTATGTTTAGTTTTGTTAAATTATTTTTCTATATATAATATTGCATGTCATTATACAACAGGGATATTCAAGAGAGGCTCAATTAAACTTCATTTGTGCCAGAAGCAAACTCCGTAGTGGGCGGATGGCTTTGCATTCCACTGCTTTCAGGAAGATGTTGCATAGACATCTGTCCAAATAAAAACACCTTTACAACACTGCAGATGTTGTAGAATGCAACAAATAACACACTGCATGAATTGAGGTCAGACATAATTCACCATTTGGTAACATTCCATTCAAATGATACTGACTCACATAATAAGTAACAAATGCAGCACTTGAAGTAACAAAAACAAAGCTGTACTCCAACAACGTAAACCAGTTCAAATATTCCTGTTAAACAAAAATATACCATGTATATACACACACAACACAGATGCACTGTTTTGTTTTGCAGTATAAATAGATCTGATCAAACTAAATTCCTAAAACTAATGAACTACTGACTGACAGTCCCAAACAGTTTCCATCTACTAAGGAACACAGTAAGCTTTAGGGATCAGATGACCATAGCTGGATATGGCTATAAAAGAGTATCAAAAGATTTCACTGGAGGGATATTGAAAATATTTTCTCTGTACATCAATATTAATAATATATATATACTAAGTTGGCATCACAAAGTCTGCTTGGGCTCTGATCATGGCACACAGGAAACTCATGGCTCTACAAGGAGCCACAAGGCTCCACCTGTGTGGAATGCACCGTAAGGCTGCAACACTCTTAAGGCCCAACCCCAGGACTTAACAAGGGAGGAGCTTTTTAGCTGCCTGTGCAGTTAACACGTTGGTTTAGTTTCCATTTTCTTCCTCTTCTGATTTAGCACTAGAATTCTGTTATCCTGCTAATGACACATCTGTTTATCCCTGAACTCTGTAATACCATACAATGAGTATGCTCCTAATGAGTACACAATAAAAGTAAAAATTAGAAAGGGAAGAGATGGAAACTTGTTTTCTGTTAAGGAAATCCTGATTATGGGTTATTTGCATTTCAGAACTTGAAATAAGATTTTAAGCAAAAAAAGTCTTTTTCAAATTAAGATTACAGTAAACAGACAAGGAGCACTTAATTTGATCTGAAGTGGAACAGTCAAATATTAACCTCTTCAACTGCTATAGCCTCCATCTCCTTAACGCCAGGGCTGTGCTGCAACCATAACAAACAGCTGTTGCAAAGGCAAAAATCTAGAGGAACAGGGAAAAAAGAAGAAAAAAGAAAAAGTGAATCACATTATATTGTTCTACATTTTTTTCCCATTCTAAATGAATACAGAAACACAGGTTATTCACATGTCACCTCCCCCAGCCAAAATGCTTAAGGTAAAGATAGGTTTGGGATCCTCTGAAGTTTTCTCATGAACCTCCCCATTACAACCCCATGTTATTGCTTTTAACTTGCTTGCTTGCTTCAGAAGACATTTTGAAACAGAACTTGAAACAGAATGTCTGCATAACTTATGGTACAAAGTAATCATCTGTATGTACACTGTGCATTTCAGTTTTCTCTTATCTAGACTGATCAAACATTAATCTCAGATTAGTTTCCAAGTGAATGCCTGTACCAGCAAACAACTTGGGTGAAATCCCTCTAAACTCCCAGAACTCTTTTACTTGCAGAAATACAGAACCAGCTTTAAATCTGGACTCCTTGACCAGATAACCAGCCACTACAACAACTTCCTAAGAAATGCCAGGAAGTGCTGCTTGCTCAAGAACTGAAATGAACAGATTTGAACTGAAGGTCATGCCACAGTGAACTTGAACATATAATGTAAACCAGAAGGAAGAAATGAGAAACTGAATTGCTGAAAAAAAAAATAAGTTTCTCATACTGTCCAGTGCTAACTATGGATTCTGTCTCTTAGAACATATGAATTCAATCATGTCATAATAACCCATCCCTTGCTTTCCATATAAGCGTCAATTTCACTAAGTTCTGAACAGATGCTACACTGTAGAACTATCACCCATGTAAAACGAACATATATTTTTTTAATTACAATATACAAAACTAATTTTAAAAGATAAAAAGTTAGCAGCCTTTTATTTTTTTTCCACATAGATCACAGGACTGTTTTAATGAAGTGTTTCAAAGGATAGTAATTTTTTTTTCTCTGTGTCCCAACTTTCTAACTATATACTTTTGGAAAAAATGCAAAGACACTAAAGACTACAGTTATCTGAGTCATTATTTCCCAGCATTTCTTAATTAAAAATACTGAAGCAGGTTACAAAAGAGTCTCCTCCTCCCCTATCTTGACAGGGATTTGAGGGGCCTGTAGAACTGAATTCTCCCTTGGAAAAATAGTATGGAAGGGGGAAAGGGTCTCTTGGAGTCCCTAGTTTCCTGTTGACAGACAAAATGACTGAAGTGACCATATATTTAGCGGGATCTGAACACACTGAACAAGGAATGAAGAGCTACACTTAAGGGTAGAAATTGAGATACTTGCTTAGTATAAAGCCCACCCTTCATTCAGTCACAGCCATGAGACACCACCTTTGTCCTTGTGCCACATGGCCATACAGGGATGAGATGTGCTCGATTTGGAGATTGACATGCCCACCTTACCCCTTCAGAGACTGGCTTGCCAAAGCAAAAGGCCTTCCCTTTTTATTCTCCCCTTCCAGAGAGAATGTGAACCTTACGCCTTACATTCATCTGTTTTTATCTTAAGATGAACTGAAGGTGTTTACTGGGCAAAATCTATGGTGAATTTATTTTTAAGGACAACAGATACCCACAGAGGGTTTTAGAAGTTTAATAAACATATACAGCTCCCTGAGGTGCGCAAGACCCTCTGGATGGTCCAAAACAAGAGCAGTAGTTTCAGGTCTTTAAGTTAAGCCTCTTGGCACACCTCTACTTGCCCTTCAGGAGTCCAGCCAGGGAGAAAGCTACAGCCTGGTATATTTTTTGACTCAGCTATGCACACCCATATCAACAGGTACAGTGATTCAGTGATGATGCAACTACAGTGAGAAAAATGCAGTCTGAGCTTAGGCTATCAATAAAAGCACTCTAATCCTTGCCATAAGGGACAGCAGGGACCTTATAGATAACTTTTATGCCTGATGTAGTAAGTACGTATCTGGAGCTTCACAAGCAGCTAGTCCAAGGTTTTTTCCCCATGGCAAGTTAAGGTCTATCTAAATGGTATTAAAAAAAAAAAAAAAAAAGCAACTACAAGTTTGAGCACAGGCATTAAATTCTCACCTGATGCTTTCATGAAGGCTCAGTTGTTTTCTTTTCTTCTATTTTAATAACCAACATTGCTTTTATAAAATAACTCACCTAAAATTATAAGCTGTAGTGATCACATCTTTAAAACACGACAGTGAAGAGTAGCAACTGAGCATCTAATACATCAGCTTATTCCAATATTTTTTGCATGTCACTGTTAAGACACTATTCGCTGCTCTCAAAGACAATCCTTTCTCTCACAGCTCCCCTTTCTATTCCAGTTTGCTCTTAAGTTCCCAAGTTGAATGGTTGCCACCAAATACAAATATATGGAGTACATACCGAGGCTGCTATGCTTATGTTATATTCATGATCAGCTAGAATCTTCTCATGTGTGGTGGAGTTGAATTTGCGGGGAAAGTGATGCAGAGATGTAGTTGCTGCTTGCAGTAGAAATGCTCCGAAATAAAAGACAAAAGTAGCGCCATGGAAAAGAAAATCCTGAAAAGCAAATAACAGAATCAGTCTGGGCTGCAATACATATCTCATTCTTCTAGTCTCAGTACAAAGGAAACCCAACACTGAAACATGAAACGAGCACTGATAACAATAATTTTAGATAAGCAGTGTTAAATCCATCCCAGAGCTTAACCTGGACATGCTTTCACAGCTGCTTGCAATTACACACAACCCTCTAACATAATTAGTGATAAAGGGCAACTACCCCACTACCCAAACCCTATAGTCTTTCAAGTTACGAAGCACGTGCTCATCTATATGAACATACGCTGAACTTTAAATCACTTTAAAGCTACTATAGCTTACAGAACTCTCTCTTCATACAGCTTAGATAAAAAGAAGCGACATACAGGCCAACTTTATCACAATTTAAGCAGTACAACACAAGCTTGCAGACCCCCAAATCCCTCCTCAGCTATAACCTAAGCTCCAGAAGCACCCCCTCCACACTTAAATTTTGCTTCTGTAAATGCCCAGAAACACTTCAGCCTTGATACAGCTAAGTTTACTTCCCAATACAATCAGAATCCAAGGACTGAGGCATTTCCTCAACTCTCTCGGACTTGGCTCTGCCCAAAATACAGCAATTTGGAAGTACTCAATGATACTGTGGACCAAAATGCCTGAGACTTGAGTGGACAGGAGTTAGGTTTACTTTAAATATGCTTCTCTCCTGGCCTTCTCAAGGCAATTCCCTCCTCTGTGGCAAATGCTAGCTGAACACAAGGTTCAAACATCTAACTCTCATTTCTGGCTTCTATTACTGGAGCACACGAAAAAGCAGCTCTAGTGCCTAAATCTCTCTGCGGGTTGTATTTCAGAGTCCGGTGTTCCATGCAGCAAGATCCAAGACATGTTCCAGTACAGTTTTAAAATGTCTAAAATATTCTTCCAACATCTCCTTCTGTTGTTGAGTCTGCAAAGCTGACATTTGCACTGCACTCAGTTCCTGAGTCCATACAACATATACTTTGTGCCTATAGCTATGCAGGTCTGCAAAAGCCATAGATGCAATTTTTAAAATTATACATAAGTATATGTAGGTTTTTTATTATATCCATGTTATACAGTCTACCTCCAGCACTAATTAATTCTTTATGCACTTTTAATTCACTTAAGTGCAAGTGGACTACCAGTATGCCAAGAGTGAGAGCACCAGGCACACCACGTGTGAGTCCTTCAGCCAGCACTCACATGCACTAGAAATTACGGTGTGACATCCTGACCCACTGACTGTCTGACAGCAAAGCGTGCACGTGCTGCATCTCCCTGTTCAGAGAACTGTTCCTTTGAAGTTGTGAGATTTTCTTTTTACTGAAAGAGTTTTCTTTTAAAGCTCGTCAGTTATTCCACATTTGATAGCAGTTAAAGATACTTAAATCACACCCTAGTCAGTTTTGGTAAGTTATGATACAAGCTGCTACTGCAGTTTCCCATTCCACTTAGATAAGGAAATAATTTTCTTTTCATTAAGAATCATTTAAGGTTAGGTCATAGAGTGTACTGCTTTACATAATGACTGCTAATTACACTGAATCCAAGTTTTGGTAAAACAGCTGCAATAATTCCCAACTTCTGTTTTTCTATCCTGGCTGGGCTGTTGGTGGGTTTTTTTACTACTTTTAAAAAACAATTATTTCCTCTTGGAGTATCACCAGGAGACCCCACTGACATTCAACAGAACTGAGAATACTGTTGAAGGGGGCAGAGGGTGGCTTCCTGACCTAGCTGGGTAGCCTTTATGTGCTAGGCTTGCCAGATCTCAACCTTTGGGCATAAGACTAATTCCCTCAGTCTCCAGTGCTGCTGTAACATCTGTACCTCACAGAAAAATATAGTAGGAACCTACTCCAGCATGGGAGCGCTGAAGGCTCACAGAAGCTGCAGTGCTCTGTACAGCTGGGGGAGGCAGTTCTCCCTGGCAGATGCTTTCTGTTGTGGCTTCCCCCTCCTCACTTGAGCTGGCAGATAGACAACGCACACCTTTCATGCTAGAGCCTACACGCACCGTCCGTGTCAGGCTGCATGCAGGTGTGTTTTCACTGGGTGACAAATACCGGTGCCCTTATCATGGCTGGACATACCCCTTTCATAGCACAGGATTCCAGCAACTTGAAAGGTCTGCATAACCCTTGGCTAATCAAGGACATCCATTATTTTTGGGCTGCTAAGTGCCCAGCAACTATGTCAGTATTACCAGTTGTACCCCTCTGGCACTGCTGGTCATGAAGGAGAACAAATAACTCCATGAGGAAGACAGTGCTGACTGCGTACAGGAGGTATTTTCAGAAGACGAACTCTTTCATTTCCTTCATTCTCCTGCCAAACCCTCTAATTTCCCTCTCCTGGCAGCAATTACAGTGAAGCTATGTAGTGTCAGTAAGGTTTCACGTTCGTATGGTTATGGTTTCTGTGACCAAAAAACCCAAGACCTTACAAAGGAGGGTTTTTTGGTTTTTAGTAATTGTTAGCATGGTGCCTAACTCTCCCTTGCCTCCAGACTTGTATAGTCATTGAAATCTCATACAAAGTGTACGTAAAACACTACTAGATCTGCACGATATCTTAGTTCACACCTAATTTTGTAAACGAGTGTGTTGTGAGTCAGGCTGTAAAGGGCAGCATTTGTCATTCCATCTGGTTTAATACAGTGATGTAGAGCGACGTACCTCCACAAGATCCATATTTTACCCCATCTTTTCGCTATGTAGATTATTTTTTAAGTATCTGTATTAGTATCAATGGCGCTACCTATGACGTAAGGCATTACTAAATGCAGGGCTGTTTTTCAAACTTAAACTCCTGGAGTCTTAAACCACATTTGTTTATGAATCTCTACATGAAGCTATAGTACTCCAATATAACTAAGCCATAACTCTTCTCATGTTTGACCTAATCTAATGACCTGCAGCTTCGGAGTTCTATTGTAAATCCAATTTATGAAACAGCAAAAACCATGTATTTATCCAAATACAGGCCAACCTAAACCAAACAGGTACACCTTTTTATTTTATAGTAATAAAAATAGTTTAGTGTTTCTAGTAATTATTTATTTGCAACAGAAGGTAAAAAATCCTTGTAAAGTGCTACTAAGGAGTTTACTGCCAACAAGTTACAGAACATTTGGGTACCTGAAAACAGTGGTTATTTTTATAGTGTTATTTTTGTTGACAGATGGAAGGGGCTGGATATCAGCTACCATGTTAGAGATAAAACGATTCACTCTGCATTTCTTTAAGATGTTGATTTAGTTGAGACAGCTTTTTATATTAAGTTACAGGAGTCTCACAGATGCAGCTTTTATACAAGTCATAGCAATTTCTTGACATAAAAACTTTTTCAGTAATTTATCAAATACAAGGGGACAAAATTAACACTACAACAAATCACTCCCAGCATCAAGTAGTCAATGTGTAAGACACACACAACTGTTATACGATGAACATTTGTGATGGCATTTTCAATCTATAAAAGGCTATGCCCTTACCCAGCAACTCTTAAATAGATGCATGATTGTAAATTGGTGAACAGTTTCAATGAAACCCAGGACACTATTAATTTACTTAAGTTATGCACATGCTCAAGGGCTTTGTTGCATCATAACTTGTTAGGATGTTGCAGCATACATCCCTGTAAAAGTATCTGTAATTGTAACTCATTATTAGCCTAATTACCGCCTGTATTGTGCTGGAAAGCTGACACTGTATGTATGTGTATTCCTATCAAAGTGCTAAAGTTTGTTTTAATAGAGTCCAGTCTGTTACCACTGATGGGCTTTGAAGTTAGAGCCCCAAACTCATGAAGCTCTAAGATTTGCTTTAAGCACTTTTTGTTTTAAGGGACAGTCCGTGAGTAACTTGAACAGATAAATAACCACAGATGTTGATACTGACGCACGCAATTCCACATATGATCAAGGAAAGTGTCAACAGGAAAACTAAGCCGCATAGGACGAAGGTGAACAGCAGTTAGAAACACTCATACATTAATATTTTAGAAGTTCTGGTCCTTTTGGAAGATTTTTTGGAAATTCTCATTCTGATCACAGTTTTGCCACCTCCACTATTCACTCTCAGTTATATTAGAGAGAGTGATGCCAGCTTGTGCTCAACTACTTGAGCGCAAAAACTCAAAGTTAAAACCAGTTAATGACAACAAAGGAGTACATAATTTTTCAGTCAACAACCTCAGGTATCCATGTGGTTGGCAAAAACCGGAGCCAACAGCTTCTCTTTTTTTAATAGGAAGGTAGTCTGTGAGAGCTACCAGCATGAGCCATAACAATCCATTACAGCAAGAACCAAGTCTTGTCTTCACAATGAAGAAAAGCTGAGCAGAGTATAATGCTATCTGTCCTCTCACCAGGCTTCCTCTAAGACAAATAAACATTATGTCTCCTAAAAAGATGTCAACCTATATCACACTGCAGGTTATCCTGTCTTTGACTACTTAAGGTCTAACAGCCACTTACCAATGCTACCCTAACGTTAAGGAATTGACCCAAAAGTCAGCAGAAGACTTTCTTAGGAACTGGAGGAAACTTCCTGGGTGCTTTAGTCCAGTCCATGCTATCTCAGACAACTACATCACACAGTGTGTTCATAAATGTATCACTTCCTTCACAGTATTAGATGTATCTTTCTACCTCCCATTGTTCACAAGGTGTTACTATCACTTCTCTAGCAGCCAGAAAATATTTTCCAATTTCCAGTCCACAATTATAACTGGTCATTGAAACTAAATCATTGTCACGCCTTGTTAAACTAGTCCTCTTCCTGCTGCTCATGCACTTTATGTGCTCATAGAGGACAAGTAAACTCCTTTAGTCAGTCTCAACAGGTGAGATCTTTCAGCCTCCATCATAAAACAACTCCTGTATTTCCTCCATCATCCTTGTAGCCCTACTTTTTCTTTTTCCAGTTTTGAATTCCTCTGTTTTGAAAAACTTTCCACTAAAACAGAAGACCAGGTATTAAGACTTAGGATCAGTACTTGCCATGAAATAATTTTCAGTTTATAAAACAAAGGGAATCCTTACATAAAGAAAAAAAATCTTACCGTCTGGTTCCAGTTGACAGCAATTCTATTTGCATAACCGAAGAGGAACACACACAGGAACACAATGGACAGGAACCACGCAGTCACTGCTACAAACATTACCCATCCCTGCAGCAGCGGCAATGGAATTCGGGTAGAAGCTACCAAAATCCAGACTATCGTTCCAAACAGCTGCAAAGAAGGGAATACAGACAATGAACTGAGAGACTGATAACTTTTATTTAGTCCTTTCAGCCTAAGAACTAATATCACACATCAACACTTCCTCACATTACTTTTAGGAACCAAGAGGAAACACTTCAAAAGTACTCAGAGAGCCCAAGTGCCATTCTCAGAAATGATAGACACTAACTAAGTGGTGGTAAGACAAAGCCACTCTGAAATTCTTAAAAGCTCTTAAAATAGTCTTGAAAATGGGACTTACAAGCTGAGGTGACTTGCGTGCTGCTGCTGAAAATTTTACCCTTAATCTCATTTTGAAGGACCTACAATAAATGTGAAAATGTGTCTCTCACATACACTCAGCTCTCTAAACACACTAAAGTTAGCATGACAAGGATGTACATCAGACTGTTATTCAATCTCATACTGTTTAGTTTTGTAGTCCTAATCAGATGAGGTACAGAAAAGAAATGAAACTGAATCCTTCCTCAATGCATTTGTAATAAAGAGCTGACAGAGAACACATTAAGCAATAAAGTGAAAGAGAAAACTAGAACACAGAACAAGGTGAGTTGTAAGCTATGTTGTAATGACTAGAAAAACATACAGCTTTCCAGAATTATCATAACCCAGGTAAGAATTCAGCACCACCCATTTTCTTCTCAGCACACTGATCACAGTGAATGAGTGGCGAGGATGCTGTGCTATGATGGGCTGGTGGAGAATTTACCTACTCTAAGGTTTGCCTGGTTTAATCTACTCTTGGCCTAAGGAAGGGTACTATTTCTCTCTGCAAATCCTGCCTCTTTATAAAAAAAGATAACTGGAGAAAATCATAATTGTCATCTGAAGTACGTTCATTTATTACAGAAAGATTTAACTTCATAATCCAACCTGCTGTGTAGTGACAGCTACAATCAATTTCCAAGCAAGCTACTTATTTCCTATTTAAATTCTACAGATTTACAACTACAGAGTCAGAGGCTACATTTTCAGATTCAGAGAATTTTCATTTGACTCATGGTTGGATGAGAAATACATTTCAAAAGATGCCTGCTATAAAATTAGTTCATTCCTCTGTAGTGTTACATTGCAGCAGCATATATGTAAAGATGCATTGCTAGTCTCAGTTCAAAGCTCCCAAGGGTGTATGTATTAGCCTTCAAGTTGTTCTCTAGGGTTCCTTTTTTGGCTGCTGTGAAGAACCAAGCTTTCTCTAGTTTCACAAGACTGCAGGTGCAAGTCTGTTACTCAGAGACCTGATAGTGATGGGCAACGAGGAAGCAGAAAGTGTCTGCTAAACAAAAAGCAGGCACACATGAAATGCTTTCAGTATTTTGAATGTGCAACCTTACAGGCTTCTTTAAAAATGAATTTAGAAATCTACTGTAGAGACCGCTAATCTCAGTGCCCACTGTTGTGCTATTTCCCTCACACTACACCTGTCCACTCCAGCTCGGCTGTCAGATGTACAACAGGTTGGCCAACCTAATTAACCTTTTGTCCCTTCTGACTCAGGGCTTGATTTACCGCCCGGACTTGGGCTCTGAGCTCTTTGCTCGGTGCAGTTTTACAGCTTGCAGGGTGGGATCCATCTCCCAGACTGGGACTCAAGCAGTATTTGGCTCTGAGCCCAAGAAAAACAAAAAAAACCCCTCAAACAGATGAGTTCTGCCAAAGTGTGTGTGGGGGATTGTTGTTTTTGTTTCTCTTACTAATTAGTACCACGGCCCTGCAGAGCCTCCTACTCAGCCTTAGCTCAAAGGTCCTCAGCCCTGCGTACAGCAGTAAGGTCCCCCACACACGTGAAATGAAACAGACGGGCAGGAGTGTGCCCAGGACCTGCAACACAGGCACAAACCAGCGTCACCCTCCACGGGGGTTTGTGGGGCTGGGACTCTGCACGGCTCAAACCCACC